AGAGCAATTAGGTCAGTCAGTCTTGGAACAAAGGAAAATATCCATAACATCTTTTCTTAAACTTTTTTTTTTAACATTCATGGAATTCAGGTTGCATATCTAAAAAGATGCCAAAACAAAGTCAAACTGAGGATTTTCTTTTTGAAGTTGCATGCCAAACTTGTGTCAGTTAGATTGTTTACCCCTGGCATGAGATTTAGGGTGTTTCTCAATGTCGAGGAAGGCTCCTCCAGAGCCACTATTTCAAGGATGCTACGACATTGAGTCCCGACGAAGGACTGTTCCAATGTCCAGGATCCTTGGAATTCTACCGAGGCCGGCGTCCTTCGTTGCGGGAAATTTCGAGGCTGCACATGTGTATCCTCTGCGGTCTTAAAATTCCCACAATGCTTTGCGCACGGACCTATTTCCAAAATCTTTGGCGGAAATCGCGCTCCATTTAAGGCGGGGCCTCGCATATGACGCACACCTGCACACCTAATAGCCTGTTCCACCATTCTTCGTTTTTCGAGGCTAGGAAGGATTCTTGCCTCGCTTCTGAAGGACCTGACTCGGAAGACATGTCCTACCAAGGAAGCGTCCTGGACATTGAGAAACACCCTTAGACTCCGGCCCAAATGCAAGGCCAGCAGCAACCCAATCAATAGGGAGCCTGGTGTATGACAATAAATCATATTCAAGTGGTAGGTAATGTGGGGTGCCAGACAGAGTACAGGACCACACATAAAATACATTTAGGGCAATTTGTCCCTGATGCACTAACTCTGTCTCATGACTTAGCACTACAAAAAGGAGGGGGATAACAAAATGTCCACACAGAGAAAGAAAACAGACTTTGACTTTGCACCAACACAACACAGGGTAACATTTCCTTAGGCGATGCTGCTCGACCATGAGAGGCCATAAAGCTGAATTACTGATCCAGCTCTTGTTGTCAGTTATACAGATCAGGGTGATTACATGCATAATACATGAAGTCAGTCCACCACACGTCAACCCAAACCCAACCTGTACCTGCACCATTCGTCCTAGAATCGAATCGATCGGCATCAGCTCCTGTCCAACAAATCTACTACAGTCACTTCATCAAAACGGTCATCAATAGAAGGAGTTGGAAAGCTCTTCTTTACTTGTCCCCTGCCGTTTGACAAGATCAAACTGCACAGCGTTTAAAATAAACCCTTCAGGTTCTGGCTTAAATTCCTGCTGAAGTGGGAATAGAAGTAAATCTTTGTAGAGCAGACATTTCACAAGTAGGGACGATCTTATTCTAGTGCACGGGGTGTTGATGCCACCCGCCTGACAGATTTTTCACACTTGCCTGTGATGGTTAATAGGTTGAAGCACACTCCATCATGTCATGTGTAAAGCCTCAAACCAAGCCAACTTACATTTACTTAATTTACTAATGGTGTCACATAGCATCATTATCATTAATTAAGATAAAGTTAGAATCTAAATAATTTTGATAATGAAATGGTAAATTGACTGCAGTTATACTGTGCTTTTTTCAGTCTTTGTGACACATAAAAGCGCTTGCATATACAATCCCGCATTCACCAATTAACACACATTCACATGGAGGCAGAGTCTACCGTCCATACATTGGTTCAATCACGTTTCAAGCAAAAAACTGCCAACTATTTGCTGTTTATCAAATATGAGGATTTGCTGCATTTCATTCTCCAATGATGTGGACTTGGTCTTTTGAAGGTTGGTGGAACAAAAACGTTTTGTTTTTTTAAATGTTCATCTTGGGTACCTTGGACTCAAGGAATTTAAATAGGAATGTTTTGCCATTTACTTGCATTTTAGAAAAATAAGTAACTATACTATGTTTGTTGGAATAAGTAATAATGAAAAGAACCATTACTAACCTACATTTAATTAACACACATCAATAAACTGTAGAATGGGCTTTTAATTGTTCTGTCTTTAAAAAGGTCAGTGGTTCTACATCTTCAGCATTTTCATACTGTTAATTTGCCTTTTCACTTGAAACGATTAGTTCCAAAAAATAAATTCCTCTTTTTCCCAAAAGCAACCGTAAAGCACAGCAAGTGATGACTGCTTCGCCAATCTCAAACACTTTGTCTCTGTCATTTTTTAGTTTCTGTTTCTGCACACATATTCTAAAGGACCCCCTTTAAAAAAATCAAATACCTTTTTCTAAAATTATTCTCACCATGTTAAAAAAGAGTTGCCTCTATGTGGGCGGTTTGCACATCCCCAGGTTGTCGGTTAATGACCTACAATCAAACCCTTAAAGCCCACATGCTGCATTTTGAACATCAGTGAGCAGTCTAAATAGCCAGTGAATGTTTTCCAGTGGGTATAAATAAAGAGCCATTTAACTGTCTGCCTAAGAGACAATGGTAAGCCCAGCATTCATCCCTATTTATTTTGCACAATTTACTTTATTTTTAAGTTTAGTATTGATTGGAGCCCATATCCAGTCGTATTTCCGATGTTCAGTTGACAGTAGCCGGCGGTTGTGTGATTATCAGGCTCACACATGATCAACCTGTTTGTCCTCAACCCCCTTTAATCCTCTGAGGCCATAATCGATATATCCCTCGTAGACCTTTTCTCCCTCTCCCTGCCACTCCACCTTGAGACGCGGTGTGAATTTAAAGGCCACATCAGTGCGGCGAGGAAAACACCCGGCGGAAAGGAACACCCACTCACATAAATCAATTAAAAGCGTGCCAATCAGGTATTGAGCTCCTTTCTAAAAAGAATACCCCCAACACATTAGTAGCCAGTCAACTCATAACTTTACTGCTCTATTTGCAGTCCATTAATCGATGGAAGAGGTTATTCCAGCCTGCCGAATAACCACCAAGTCCTACAACAGGTTTAAATTCACTCTCAACATCTCAATGCTCCTACCTCACCCAACAACTGCCACTAACCAACATGACCTTCTGTATCGTGAAGTTCCATACATCATACAGTCTGTTATGCTCCAAACATTTTCCTTTGCATCTCTCTTTGACCTTCAACAAGAAAAAAGATCTAGCCACGCTAGAAGCTCTATAAAGATTCTGTACTCAAAGGCTCAATGGTGCTTTGAGCTAAACATTATGTTGGCATGCTAACATGCACACAATGAGAATGCTAGCATGCTTATGTTCAGCATGTCATTGTTAAGTGTGTTGTAAACATAAAGGACATCTAAGGCTGATGGTAATGTCATTAGTTTTGTAAAGCATTGCAGTTTAAATGTTGACCAGATGGCACAAAATGAAAAGTCAGAGGCTCATAAAATGTTAAGGTCCAGAGATATCAACCTGTTCAACCATGTCAGGGGATCAACAGAATAGGACTCGTTGTCTGGAATCTAATAGTTTCCTTGATTGGGGTTGCAGCTGACAGAGGCGTATCCAAAGGGGTGGACCAGATTTTTTAACAGATGACAATTTAAAGTAGATATCTGGAATGTGTCTGCAGTGCATTGGTGAGCAGCACAGCTCGTGTTTTTCAAGAGTTCACACATTACACAGGAGCGCCGATTTGCGAGCGCTTAGCTGATGCTGATTTGCCTCTGTCCTCCGGATTTTATCTTTATCTGGAAAATCAGGGGTAAAGTAGTGTAGTGTGAACTATGCATAATATTAAGCCCCTCAATAGGGAGTGGATCTTCTTCCATGTTGCTTGCCCAGAACAGATAAACCAAATTCTGCCGTGTTTTACCTCAAGGCCAACATAGGTTCAACTTAAACTCGCTTGGAAAGGGAGGGTTGAGTGGAGGGGTATTCAGTTGGTTGCAAACCTCAACCCATACTGCCCCTAAATCCTGAGTGCTGGAGCTTTTCTTTTCTTTCTTTTTTTCGTGATGGGACTTATGTGGAGGTCAGTTTAAAGTGACCTTCCTGAGTTTTTTTTTACTGAATAGGACAAACATCTATTTAAATAACTTGTTCTGGACGTCAGTGCCACAATGTATTGTATCCTTTAAATTAAGTATTGATTGGAGCCTCTTTTTCTAAAGGGCTAGGTACATTTGTATTTCTGGCAACACACACAGGAGCTGCTCTCATTGTAAGCCACCTTCCTCTCCCTACCCACGGATGCTGCTGCTCGCACACATCCCCGTACAGTATCATGATGTTGTCCGTGTGTGGTGAGATCACATTATCTCACATCACAGGGAAATTACAAAAATGGCTCCTCCCACTCCTCCTTTTGCTCCTTACGCTCCCCTCCTCCCCTTCCTCTTCCCCGGTCCTCGGTAGCAGCAGGTGTTATTCTCTCATAACCTGAAGATTTAGCTGGTAATTAGCATTACCTCTTAGCCCCAGAGAGTTATTCATGCTTCATGGTAACAGCAGGAGACACGACTCGAATGTGTTTCTGGGCACCCTATGAGAGAAGAAATCACGCCTCAAAAACACGTGGGAGAGATTACTCAAATATGCCTCCTTTGTACCCTCTTTACCCCTCTCGCTGCTGCACGGTTATCGCTCCCCGTTAAGCAATAAGATCCATTACGGTACTCTTTTTTGTGCAGGATATCTGAGGCTGTACAGCACCACAAATAAGCTTTATACTCTTGGGTTTCATTGTAGCTAGAAGCTTTGACCTTGTGTTATGTTGCCCTTAAGTAGGTATTGTAATTGTCTGAAACAATAACAACACAAGGCAATGCAAACCGGGAAAAATATGCATATGATAAAGTGGCTCTGTCCACAGGTTCACAATGAATCGTTCACGGTGCATTGGAATAAATGCACGATTTGGGCTAAATGATAAGCATCCTACTAGGAGGCAATTAACTGCACTGATGTTACATAATGACAGCCCACACTTTACACTAACACAACCGGTGCATGTCAAAGGAGAAGGCTGTTTTTTTTATAAGTAATAAATGGTGTGGCAGTACATCCCCACCTCTTCATGCCAGTCAGCTCCAAGAGAAACAGCGGGTCAGAAATGAAACACCTTGAAACTGTCAGGGTGTTCTCCGCAAAGAGTGGCATTTCTTGACAGGATCTTACCTTTGCTGTTGTGCTCTTCCCTGTTCAGATACATGGTTGTCACTTCACTCCGAGGCGTTGTCTGAATTATTTGTTGGTACTCCTCTGTATCGTGAACTCCGCTGATGTGGTTTGTAGTAGTAGCTGTTTATTGTTTTGTTGCTCCTCAACAGCCTCTCCTCTCCTCCTAGCGGATAGGTGGGCTGGTCTGAGACTCTCTCTCCCTCTATCTCTCTCTCGCACTCTCCCTCTTTCTCTCTTCTAACCACCGGTTCACTGTGGCTCAGAGGACAAAATGGGAAAAAGTGACTTTTTGCAGCTGCTGTTAAGAAGTAGCCTATCTTTTCTCTGCTGCCACTTGTGATTATTGATTTTGTTTGTGCATCCATGTGTCAGTTTGTATAGCTGTGCGTGTAATAAGGAGCTCAGTTGGATCCACCCATGGGATTTATACTTGCTTGCACCCGAGTTGCATGGCTTAATTGGGAATCTCATTAGTGCTGGAAGAAGTATTCGGATTTTAATTAAGCAAAAGTGGAAAAGTACTCAATTACTTGCAGAAGTCCTACACTCAACGCCAGGCTTTACTTACATCCAACATTAGTATTCATCATGCAGAAATGTTATATATTATATATTCAATATGCATGAGTGTAACAAAGATAATGTAGCCAAAGGGTCAAATAATAATAATGTAATAAATAACAATGAAACTAAAGTGAGAAAAAACATATTAGTGAAATAATTAGAGAAAAAGTTGCAATTCATAAAATCTACAAATAATAATTGAATTATCACAGTTTCTTTCTTATGTGTTTTGTTTATTTATACTTAAATTCTTTAAAAAATCCCATCATTAAACAGCAGTAGAGTCCTTTATTGTGATTCATTAACGTTTCAATGTTGTACCTGGTCAACATAAAGCTGATTTTAGTTGCATTGTATCATTGTAACCGATTGCCAGCTATTTTAATAATTGATTAGTGATTTATCAAGAACAAATAAAAAAGCTTAACTTCTCCTATGAGAGGATTTGTTGTGTTAATTAGCTGTATTTAATTCTAAGACGTGTGCTGGATAAAACATTACATTTGTCACATCATAATTCCTCCGAAATTATGATTCTTATGAATGTTTGCTATTTGCTATTTGTGCCAATTTCTTTCAAAAGGCATCGTACTCATGCAAAGTACTAAAGTAAATGTATTGAGATATTATGCACTTTACCTCCTAAACTACAATGACAAATTAAACAAATAAGCAACAACATCCTGTGACAGTAAAACGCTGATATAAGGAGAGACAAACCCACCTGGCCCTGTCACTTCAACCATGCTCAACCTGCTGCTTGTCCATATCCTCATGCCTTCACAAATGGTGGTCAGATGTTCCTGCATCATGAAGCTGTGTGTGAGTTTATTGACCACATTATTAGACCGCAGCCAGAGATTAAGAGCTCTTGAGGAGTAATTGTATGCGTCCTCTGCCAGTTTCTGATGCAAGGTGATGTGGCTGCTATGCAAATGCTTCCTAAATGAGATGCAGAAATGAGATGTAGATTATTCTAACACTCAGTATTCAGGCTGTCTTACATCACACATAGGCAGTAAGTGGTGAGGGAACAATGTGTCTGTGACCTTGACTTAGTCCTAGAAAAAATCCAGCAAGGAGGCAATTTAAAACAATTTCTTCAATAATTTTTCCTTCTTGTTCTCAGAGTACATTTCCAATTTGCAATGGGACTTCTTGTTACATGAAGCTGGCATGAAGGCATGGGACATTATAACATAAATGGGATAAGTCATGACAGTTATTACAACTACTGCACAAGTCCAGCATTTAAATGTTTTAAACAGAACTTGTGTAATCATGCTGTTATGAAATATGGAAAAACTTACAGTGCATGCACATCAACCAATAACCTCTGACCTGAAATCTCTGGAACGCGCTCTGTGATGTTTTTTATCGTACTTCCCAGCCTTTCAGTGTCTCTCACTGCGCCTGAGTAATGAGTATGCAAGTTCTCCATACAAGCCAGCAAAATGGAAAGCTAATATTCCATTCAATCTTGTGGCTCTATGATATCACAGATTACAATTCAAAAGGATATGAATTGAGTCCTACTGTAGATGCAAATGCTGTGTGAGCAATATCGCAAATAACAGTTTGCCTGCGTTTTGTCAATAAAGCTGGGAAGGTCATTTGCTCAAAGCATCCCGCAGTGATTTCCATTTGATTATATTTTGTTTTGAGCTGCGTTCAGTGCTATTTGTTCACAATTGAGAATATTTAGCCATTTGTAAGGAGAATTGTCTGCAGACTAATTTGACCAGAGTCTTAGATATCCCCCTCCTGTCCTCCCAGCATCATTGTGCCTGTCACAGATGCATCTGTCTCCACTGGTATCTATAAATACCCCCTTCTCTACCCTTCAAAAACCTGATTCCCATTGATTTAGTGACCTATATACACATCAACACCATCCCCTCCCTTCCTCCGGCTCTCTGCTCCTTCTATCGATGGCCCTTCACTGTCTCCACCTCTGATTTCCTCTCCATCATTCTCACCCTTTAAGCTCAATTTGAGACTACCTTTTCCTCCATCTTCTCTCCTCCTCTGGCTAGAAAGCATGGAAGACTAATAATAGTTCATCGTGGAAGCTCAAGTCATGACACATGAAAGGGATGAGCATAAGAACAGTGGCTGGTGCTCATTTCTATATTTCAAAGTCTTCTCATTGTGGTAAACTGAGCCTTTTGCTAATCTCTCGAGTGTGTAAACACTGGCGTACAAAGTCTGATGAAAGGAGTCTCAGAGCCACACAATTCAATATGAAATCTGACTCTGGCTGAAATAAGACATGTGAACAATGAAAGAGAGATATAAAATGACAGCACTGTGTGTCTGTGTGTGTGTGCAGGGTTATATCTGAAGTTGCTAAGATTTCATTAAACTTTAAAATAGCATTATAGGTAACTAATGCTATAAACAACAATTTTGAATACATGGCAAACAGCGAGGGATTAACAATGAATAACCCCCTGTCATAGCATCACATCTACTGAAATTAGCAGGATATATGGGGGGTTTATACATTTCATCCCCCAGTGAAATCCACATAAAGGCACATTTTCATATCCTTATCACCACTTTTTAAACACTCTGTTTATCGAGTGAAACCCCACAGACTACAGAGGCTCATCTGTGAACATCTAAGCTGCAAGAGATAGAAAGTAGCGTGACTGAGTGACATAGGTGTGCGTGATTTACTGCCACACCACCCAGGTTTAGCATACACCTGTAGTTCACACAGCACTGCTTTACACTCCCACCACAGCAGGACTAACAGCTCTTCTGCGACCCCACACTGACACCTGGTGGCTCCACAAGGCAGAACATCAGAAAACAGTCTTTAGCTGCTCATACGCCCCGAGGAACCACAGCGTCATCCTCACTCTCTTCAAAACTTTCACACTGCTGTTTGGTTTTCACACTATTACAGATTAAAACAGCAGACTGTTGTATTCTGGTATGTGCTGCACCCTGAAAGCAGATGTGAGTCAAAACTGTAACCCAAAGCACAGACTACAGCAGGCAATTTTAGGACAGTCAGTTTATTGAACAGCAAATTGTGACAGGGAACACAATATTTATTTATTTTTAATTGCATTGTCAACAATGCCTTGGACAAATGCGTCACTCACCAAACATTTCATAAACACCCTCCACAGAGAGAGACATAGTAGATGGAGAATATGGTGAGGGTCCTTCATATTTTAAAGTGCAATAATGCACAATTCCTCTTGGAGGAAGACAACAGAGGCTGAGAGGAGACCCCAGAAGGCCTTCAAGGTCCTCACTTGCATCATACATTGTGTTTTGCTTCGTGTATATATATTTGTTTCAAGTGTGTGTTTGTGTGTTGACTCTACTTATTGCATATCAGTGAGCTGGTTTGTGATTTTTTTTCCGGTGAATGTGTAAAGCACAAATCTTTCGATTAAAATGTAATAAACTCTTCACTATAATTATAATACATCTCATAATATCTAAGATACATTCTTATATCTGATTCATTTAGAATATGTAGGCGATATACATTTTGTGAATAACTGCTGATGGGTGACATAGTGGACCATCACATGGGTCTATTATAATGACCGTCGTCTCAGCCCTATAGATCAAGTTTTACAGACATAGATAAACTTTCTTACAAGACTACAAAGTTAATCAATCGACATCTCCACTGAAATAAATCAGACTTTAATCCAGGTCTGCAAAAGCAGCAGATCCAAGGACTTTGTCCGAGTGTATTTAAAGAGGGCCATGTGGTTTCTTGTGCCTAATATTTCTGTGTGCTTTCCTTTGATTGTTTACACTCTTAGTCATACATTTGGTGTTTTAGAGCTCCTCCACATATACCTGCAGCTGTGGATGCTGCGGAGAGTAGATGGCAGAGGAGTGTGAAAGATAGAAGGAAAGAGGGGAGAGAGCATGGGTCTGACAATCAAAGAGAAAAATACCGCAGTGTCACACTAACAACTACACATCAACTACAGCACTACACAGTCAGACACACACACGCACATACAAAACCAAATGCACAAGGTCAGTGAAAACTCACATCTGAGTAAAAGAAAATAACTTGTACATTAACATTTTCAAGATTTAACCAAAAAATAAAAAACAGAGGGCAGTTAGAAGGAGTTGAGGGAGGTTTCAAAATCATAAAAATAATCTCAACAACACAAAAAATAGGCATTATGATCACAATATCAGCATTTATGAGATGAACTAGGAATGTTGAAAAACTACAACAGTAATTTATAAAGACAAGCTCACATGAGAGGCAGGTCTTTTTGCCGTTTTCCTGTGGCTCAGCTGTCATCTGTAAACACGGCTGGAGGCGCCAGTCCATGTCTAACAGATCTGATGTCCCTCCCTGACCTATGGCTTTCAGGAAAGACATTGATAATGCTAGCTAGCATGTGACAGCCTTGGTCGTTGGTGCCATCAATGTCATATTGCAGCTACTGCATGAAAAAAGCACCATTCACAGATGTTAGATTTACAGTTCTATGTCAGCAGGTCCCTATTTCCCTTTCAGAACGGTTTAATTAGTGCCAGAGGTCATTCACTTAAAACTAACTAAATTCCAATCAACCTTATATGATGCTCCATTTGGTCCTAGTTGATAAAACTGTAGG